ATCAAGCCATAACCGAACAATCATTTATGGCTGAGCGAATAAGCTATATAGGCTATTCAACCCAATAAGCCACAACCGAACAGCCTCGTAGTCGATCTAAGTAGTATAGGATTAACTTCGATATTTGCTAATCTCATTCTTTCATTCATTGATTCAGAGTTGCAAATGACTTAAATTTGATCTAATCACATTTCCTTTTCAATATCAATGGCGAATTTGGTTTCTAAACCGATTTTAAATTGTCTTCTTCAGATACGAAGACCGAAACGCTTTTTGTCGAATTTTTGCAAATATGAAAAATCTGACAAGATTCATTTTTGTCATTTAGATCGCGTACAACACAACAAGGATATTATATTTGTGTGGCAAATATTTTTTTTTTAATTTGAAGAAAATGAAATTAGAAATCAAATCTGCCAAAATGATTTTGAAAAGGAAATGTGATTAGGTAGATTATAAATCATCTGCAATATAAATCGATTAACAAAGAATGAAAACCTGCAAACAATGAATCCAATCTTATTTCGACCGATCACAAAACTTGAGGAGAGAACGATGGCATACAGTGACAGGGAGATGCGAATTGGTGAGCCACAGTTGTTTTTGATTGGCTAACCTTTTGATCCAGTGGATTGTGATCCATTTTGGGTTCTTCACCACAAAATTGACTTGCTCATTAAAAAACAAAATTTGAGAAATAAAATGGTGAACAAACATGTAACTAATTTTTTACTTTTTTTTAAAAAAACAAAATAAATATAACAACTTAGAATGAAAAAGTTTGTTACATGTTCTTCATCATATTTTCTCAAATTTTTTTTTTTTAATTCCCACACGTCATTTAGTGACTGAGTCAATTATGCGTTGAAGGAACCTGATGGATCACAATTCGGCGGATCAACGACTAGTCGCTTAGAAAAACAAGTATTTCAAATTAAGGTTAAATACTTATACTGGTATCTCATTATATAAACCCACTTTTGTATCATATTCTACATCAATTTCGTCATAACCCCCATGGATGAAAGTGCGAACCCTGATCATCCAACAACCGCTCATCATTCGCATCTACCCACCATTGTAAGCCCTCCATTTTTTGTGATCCATTTAAGTATATGATTAAATTTCTTGTTTCTAGATTTCCATACTTCTGTTAACCGATTTGATTGGAAACTATTTATACTTTATCTAATTGTATATCCTTTTTTCAAAATTATTGACAGATTTGATTCCTAAAAATTTTCTGAAGACTGAAACGTGTTTTTCTTTTGAATTTTTTGTTGCTACATACATCTAAATCCTTGATCTAAATTAGAAGAAAACGTGTTATGAGATTTGCAAATATCTTAATTTGTAACATTTATCAGATCAACCAAACTCTTAAATAAACGAAAAATTTGTTTGAGATTCTTAAATGATAATTTTAAAAGTTAGTTCTTGAAAATATAAATCAAGATAAAATTAGTTCCGTTTTTGTTCAATGTTGCTTTTATCTAATGTTGCTCATATATGATCTTTTATAAATAAATGGTACCAAACTCAAAAAAACGAAGATATTAACCTCACATTTTTTTAATGGGATGGATAAAAAAGACATTAGTGGGGTAACTTGGAATTAAGAAAAAGTGTAGGGGCTGTTTAGGAAAATTGGGTAAAGCGAAGAAAAAGGATTAAAAAAAATTAGTGGCGTGATTTGGATTTACGAAAAAGTGTAGGGGGTGTTTATGAAAGTTGAATGAAACTAAAAATAAAAGATGGGATTAAAGAGAGGGTTTTGAACCCGACGTGAATCGAACACGCAACCTTCTGATCTGGAGTCAGACGCGCTACCATTGCGCCACGGATCCCTTTGTATTTCCTCCCTTCATTAATTCTATAAGTTTAGTTAGTTTATCAATCACCGTAAAGCACCGTTTACCTAAATGCTTACTGTTAGAAGTCAACACTGTAATTTATTTTACCGGGTAAAATTGTAGTACATCAAAATGTATTTATGCAACAATTTACCTGGTAAGCGCTTACCCGGGTAAGAGTCGTCACCCTCACTTACTAGGTAAGATTCTTCATCTTTATCATCGCTCTTACCGGATAAGATTCTTTCCCCTTGTCATGTTCATTCGGTGAGGAAAATTGCTTAGTAAGTATTTACCGGGTAAGCGTTTAATAAACGACCCCTAAGATGAGTGCTTTCCAATCCTGAATTTCCCAGACCCTCAAGTAGCATAGCCGAGACGATGCTTATTCCCCATCTACTGTCATTGCTTCTTCTCCAAGGAAAAGAAGTTGGAATTGATCGATATATTTCTCAAAACAAACGAAAAGGAAACGAAAGATGAAACATAAAGTAAAGGATCGTCAACAAGGGTGTTCTAGTGCGTTGTAGATTCTTATTCAAACGTCGTTTAAAGGGATTACTTCATGCAGTGCATGGTTAATCTAATTTAGGCGTTTGGTAAAAGAGAATATTTCACTATATTCTATGATAATGCGTTTAAGGCACATAAGTCGGTTAACGTTTGGATTCGCATAACAACCAGTTGCATTTTGATAGGTTATAGTTGTTCGTTATAGGATATGGTTCTTTGTATTAACTGTTGTCGAAGGAACGGTTAAGATTAACTTGTTAGTTTATAAGAGAAGTCACGTAGCATCATCCGTTGCTTAACGAACTAGTTAAAATGGATAAGCTCGTGAGGACGAGTTAGGGGCCGTTTACCAAACACTTACCCGGTAAGTGCTTACTGGCAAAAAGTAGCACTATCATTTACTTACCGGGTAAGATTTTAGTCCATCAAAACGGCATCGTATGCAACAAATTATCCGGTAAGCACTTACCGTGGTAAGAGTCGTTGCCCTCACTTACCGGGTAAGACTCTTGGTCCTTGTCTTGCTCTTACCGGGTAAAATTTTTGGTTCTTACCATATTCATCCGATAATGTAATGTGATTTGGTAAGCGCTTACTCAGGTAAGCATTTGGTAAATGGCCCCTTATACTTATCCATATAAATTATAAATTTTCACTAGGGACCCATTAAGGGACAAAGACCGGATCAACCAATTATGCGATAACCAGTTTCGTAATGATACTTTTTGAGTAGTACCAACCAATTTTTACTTGATCGCTAATCAGTAATAGTTATACTCATAAAATTGGATTGTTTTTCTGTTCACCACTCACGTAAATACACATCTTATTTAGTTTAATATAACTTTTTGTTTAATTTATCATTTTAGTTTTACTTTTCATCATGGCTTATTGACATTCACGGGACAGGACAAGACAAAACTCATTGTCACGTGTTTGGCACAACATAGGACAAGACAAAAACTCATTGTCCCATGTTTGGTGCGACATAGGATAGGAACAAGAACTGAAGTAGGTGAGAAAAAAAAAAAGACTTATTTTTCACCCATTTGAAATATGGATGAAACATAGACTAAAATTTATTAATTTACCTTCATTTGATATAACTCTAATATGGATTTGTTTTAATGGTCACCATCATCCGTCGTTGCCGCAACCACCAACTATCGGCAGCCATCGACGCCACCACTACTACAACCTCCTTCCCTACCTCCACGGCTCCACAACCACTGTCGGCCACCTCCATCATAACCAATACCACCACCATTGTCGTTGCAACAACCTCCACCGAGTCTTTGTCAGTTTCTAAGGATCTTCGAAACCGAATAAAACATTGTTTATAAATTATGAACCGGATTTCGAGGTACCATCAATTATATCAAATTCTTGGTTTAGATTTGGTACTATTATATATGTATCTATATATATATATATGTGTGTGTGTGTGTGTGTGTGAATATTGTATAAAAGTATTTATAAATTAAATTATTTAAATATTTACTTGATTTATGTCATTTATAACTACAATATAATGTATAAAAGGAGGCTAATGGCACTTCTATCCCCCTATCTAATTATTTATGCTTGTCTTTTTATTGTTCGTCTTTTTTTTTTCTTAATTAAATATATTTGTACTGATTTTAATTAAATATAAATTATTAATTAATTCTTTTTTTGTTTTTTTTCTTAATTTATATTATATTTTAATTAGTGTGAATTAATAAATATATATATATATTATATATTATTTATATTATATGGATTATTAATAAACATTCAACCATACGTTGAGGTATTTTTTTTTCTTTTTAATTTTTATTTAAAAATAAATAAAAACTTATTAATATAATTTTTTTAATAATTATTTAATTATAAAAATAAAACATAAATACTGAGATTTGGCATATAAGAAACATTAAATAATTTATATTATATTTTCGGTTATTTTAAAATAACATTATATGTAGTACAGTGAACATGTAAAAGTCACGTGTGCTTCTGTATTCGGTCTAAATAGAGGGTACGCCCAAGAAGTTGTGTGTATTTTTGTCTTGTATGGGTCTAACTTTTTTATCAAGTTAAACCGAATTGTGGGTCATGCATCTTCATGAATATCGAGCCAGACAGCTATTGCACGAAATCCACAATTTTCATCACTTCTCACATCAAGTACATGCGTGATGTAGGAGTGAAACATTTTTGGAAATTGATTAACATATGAATGTACATTATTTGCCCAATAAAGAATTGTCTTGTTGGTTCCTGTTAGCTCATTTTATCCAAGTCAACAAATCTTGATGCGTTTGAACAACTAAGTCTAAGGGGTTTTTCAGTTGTAAAAGAGGGGTCAACATGAGGTTTTCTGAAAAGTTAATCTTTTAACGAGGGACGTTCACAAACCCATGTTTTTGATGCACTTGTTATCTTTTTTATCTTCCTCGGAAAACTAAACTTATCAGATCTCGATTGTTTGTTAAATTCCTCGGTAAACATTTGGACTTCATCACCACAACCAATATCATCATCCTGTAAAGATTGGCACGATGATAAATCAAGCATCTATATGAATCGAATCAATTGGGATATGATGACCTTTGAAAGTAGAAATGGAAATGAAGTAGAGGAAGAAGAAGATGATGCAAATGTGCATTCACCCAAATTTTCTGCTGTGGAGAACCATGAATACGTATAACTTAACTCATAAAACCAACCCCTAAAAACAGTGTGTGTTCTTTTCTTTACACATCAATGACCACATCAACTAAAATCGAAAATAAGACCGTTACCGTCATTACGAAACAAAACATTATATTACTGTGGCATCTCGAAACACGGGTTCAAAACGAGCTACCAAATATCATCTAATCCAGAAATTCAGATCAACGGTCTAAAACGCTTCATCTGTCTCTTCTTCATCGGGTAATATTACAGTTAGCAGTGAGTATTTGACTCGGAGCGAGATTTTACCCTTGTCCACAACCAGTCTAGCCCCTGAGACAACCCAATACCCGGGCGTTTCTTGTGGGCCCCGCGTCATCTCTGTTGTGTCCACAAACTTCAGTAACTTGGGTGCTTGAACAGGAGCGGGTGGCCCGCCTGGGTAAATAGCCGAGTTTATGTTGACCTCGGCTGGCTGCGGTTGTGGCTTCAGGACTGCTGTGAAATGGTGGCTTATAAGAGTCGATATAAGTCCCGATTTCCGGGCTAATCCGGGAGAGCCGTCCCACTCGGGATTCTTGATTGCAGCTGCACCGAGTACGGTTGAGAAGCGGAGTCGTAAGAAGAGGACCTTCTTGAACCCGTGATCTCCGACTTGTAATCGGGCCCCGGTTACGATCGACAATTCGTCTTCGGACTCGACTGGAGCAGTGCAGACATGGGAGAAGTGTTTCCATTGAACTTTCTCATAGTATCTACGGTCGTAAGACTCCTCGTTGAAGTTTCCATTAACATCGTCTTCTAACTGGAAGACATTTGGGAGAGAGGAGAGGTGTTGCAGGTGGATTGCTAACCGATTGCTTCTTTTACCTTCTAGATAAAGCCTAAGACCGGTCACAGGCCTCTTACCCACATCAACCTATTTGGAAAATTAAACAAGTTTCAAGTGTATCAACAACGATTGCAATACTTCTACTCGTTGATTAAGTTCCAAGATTAGAAAATTACCGGATTGGTGTTGACGTAGAGCTTGGGCCCGAAAAAGCTGAACTGTAAAGATGACGTACTTTGCTGCTTACGCTGTGGACCAAGCGGCAGGTCACTGAACACAGGGGCCCATTGTCTTGGTAGCTGGAATTCCAAAAACTGATGGAGTTCTTCGATCGGTGGTTTATCTGTAACAATCCCGAAGCTTATTAGTTTTAACTGAAATCAACCTGTTTCAGATAAGAGGAAAAAAATTTGCTCACAGCGTAAATAGAGATTTATGGCATGACTCAAGTATCCGCTTCCCGAAACACCATTCAGCAATGAGGTTATTGGAATGAAGGACATTGTGATCACGTCGGGTTCTAACTGTACGCTATGCAACCACTCGTCGTGCTTTAGGTTCCTATCATCGCTCCCACCTCTCCTTTTGCAAATGCTTACAAGATCCTGCAATTGGGTGAAATGATCAATTAACCAGCTACATATAGAAGAACAAAACACGGAAATTCAATCATACTACTCCCTCTTTAGTCTTTGCCAATATAAGTGTCCACATTTCTATTTCTATTTTAGTTTGTTCCAAAATAAGCGTCTACTTTCAAAAGTAAGTGCCTACTTTCCAGTTCTACCCTTAATAATGAGATGGAGAAATTCATTACTCCCTCTATTATGAAGGGTAAATATGTCATTCAGTTAATTAAAAAGTGTAATAATTACATATTTCTAAAACTATGTGGCTTTTTCATTATGGACACTTATTTTGGGACGGGAATAATACATTATAAAAATTTGTACGAAGATACCTCCTTATATGAATAAGAGCTTGAGGGGTCGGTATCTGCAAACCTTAGCCGCTGCTCTCTGACATCATACTGAAAAGGGAAAAAATATAAGACGATCATAAACCATTTACATTATACGGAAGGGAAGAAACCGGCTTTTGAGACTCAACAATATCCCCTTGCTATCCAATCGGATAACTTACCAATCGAACCAAGACAACTAGGATAAGAACAACATATATGAATAGGTCTTAGTTTTCTTTTTATTATGTAATCAACACATTGGTAAGACTGATGAAAAGTTTCTCTCTCATAAACCAAACCAAACCAAATGGACCTGGTAAATCCCATGCAGAGGTAGGGTCTACGGGTAGCATTTATGAAGACCTTGCCTGTACCCCTGTTCCCTTGAAGACCTCGGCTGGCAAGACAACAATTATAAAAATAAAAAATAAAAAGAAGTGGCCGAGCTACATGTGCAAACAAGCACGGGTACAGTAAACAGAAAATGCAATCAGGGACAGATGCGAGGGGAATACGTTAAACAGAAACACAAGGCGGATTACTGACAACTACTAGTATAGAACGAAAAGCTAAATGTCTCAAACCCGGTAAGCGCTTACCGGAATACCGGGTAAGACTTTTTTTCCTCGCTTACAGGGTAAGACTCTCGGTCATTGTTATGCTTCATACTGGCTAAGATTTTTGGTCCGTGTCATGTTCAATCGGTAAGTGATATTGGTAAGCGCTTACCCAATAAGTGTTTAGTAAATGGTCCCCAAGTCTAGTGTACTATAGACATGGTGCATTGTATTGAATACAACAGATGTAGTTTGTATACTATTTTATGTACACATCATAAAAGGTGGCTATGTGGTACAATATAGTATTTTATTAGTTTATTTGAACAATAATAGGTCATCATGTCGTTCTACCCCATATTAGTCTGATGATTAACATTAATCTGGTGGTTATTGGAAGCGTTGGAGTTGTAAACCAAGAAATAAGAAATGACCACATGGCAAGGTCTAAAAAGAGTTAACTTTGTAACATCCTATGTTGGAGTCCCACATCGACTAGACTTTGGACCATTTCTCCTCATCCCTTCTCTCCTAGATGGCCCTTTTGGAGAGCAATCTAATGGGTGTTCCACATATCCTCACATGGTATTAGAGCCAAGGTCTACCGCTCTAGGAACTCGACACTCTGGGGCAATCTCCCTTCTCTCTTCAAGGCTCTTTGAGAGAGTAATCTATTATGTTGAATGACTGGAATCTAGTTAATAATTAAACCAAGGCCACCCAAAAGAACTTGATATGGATAGCAACATGAACTTACTTCTAGATATGCTTTCTAGAAAGATAGATTTCCAATATAAGCTACGAAGTGGGAAGCTAAATCGTCGCACACCAAAAGCAAATATCCATCCTTGATAGATGTCAGAAATGTTTGCTGTACTCAAACCATCCAGATTAAAATGGAATGATGGGCTGCAGCCATGCTATTGAAGGCATGAACGACCAACAACCATGGTAATTCATATCAATTTAAGGATCCAACTGTAGACACTAAACATGAAACATAGAAAGCATCTCCCAGAAAACCCGGTATCAAGAAATGGCAGCTTGAAGCTATACCAGAGTGTGAAACAGATTGATTTAGAAGGCTTGTGAAATTTAAAAAATAAACTACACATAACAAGTATACCTTGTCATTTTGAGGCATGTGTTCAGAATCAATGTATTCTCCATCAGAGCCCAAAAATCTCTTGTCAGCCATTGCCTTCAACTTTTTCTGTACATCAGCAGGGTGGAGGGATGATACATGCTGCTGTTTCATATATATCACATCTTTTCCGCCCATCTTTACACCGACGATTATATGGGTGCCAAATTTTTCAATAAACCTGAAAGAATAAACAGAAAAAGAAGATGTGTATGATATATTTTTATCACACAACAAATATACAGATGACATTCGAATTTAAGGGCTCCTAAAATGGGAATACTGCAATTTGATATCAGATGTCTTAACCTAGTGTTGAAAAACGTAAGGATACTAACAGGTTCAAACCTTACCTTGCTAATGAAACAGGCTCCCATGAAGATGGAACAGCTTTCTTCACATGATCACATAGTACCATCTGAGATTTTTCTAATGCAACAGTGTACAACGAGATGAAAACACCATCAAAGGCAAGGGTTTTAGTGTTGGATGCATCTTTCTGCCAACTACCAGAAAATTCAAACATGGTATTAAAGAGGCCTGAAGGAATTTTTCCTGTTAATGATATTTCCTGGTTGAATTGCTCCGACATCTGCAGACGGAAGATGCGAAAACTTAATAGACATTGATGATGTACAACCAACATAATTACAAAAGATGGATCCAAATAGCAAAAACACAGTGTTGAACATTTATATGGTGAACCAAAACAGTCCACAGGTTAACCATGAACATGCTTGTCGAGAAATTGCTTTAACTAGAGATGAGTACTTCAATCCGAGTCAGATACACAATACACAATATGATATTGAGTTGGATTCGTAGTTGCAACTAGCAAGGATAGTACTCAAAATGGCCTGAGTGCTTCTGAATTAAAAATAGGGTATATGCATAAAATTTGACCTTTTAAAGTTTTAACTCATAGATTTTCAATCAAAAATGACAACAAAATCAAATACCAGAGTGCAATGCCAACCATTCATTCCCTCATGGGTCAAGCATCACTTGATATTTCTTTTTCCTGTGGACACCACCTCTCTTTTTATTCTCTCATTTATGTGCATATTTGTTTCTTCATCTAAGTAATCAACTTCCATGCTTCTCCCAATCAAACTATGACTTGGACTGGCCGTTTGCTCTCTTTCTTCTCTGTACCTTTCAAGATCAATTTCTCGTTAGCCTCTTTGTCAGAGCATCTGATTTCCTTTTCTGTCCTTGTGGTATATTTCTGATACCCAACACTTATACAGCGCTCAACATTCTATGTTTTTGGTCATCTATTTGGACAAAAGAACTGCATATATGTACCAAAACCAAAAGGCTTCATTTTCCCGTCACTTTTGCATATTGTACTCTCCATAAATTAGAAATAGATATTATATCTGCAATATGTAGCCACACTTCAAAGCTTACGGCCCAGCTTGTCCAAATAAACAAATTGATCCGACAAAACATAGTCATAGGTATCACACCTCTTATAAAATGGAGATAGAAAAATGTACTATTTCTCATGATATATCAAACCAAACCCAGTAAACCCCACCTTGAGGTGGAGCTTGGGGATGGGATGTACGCAGCACTGACCTCTACCTCAAAGAATAGAGCGTATTATTTCTCATCATCCAAACAGTAAATACAGATAATTGGTCATATATCTAGAGTAAAGAATGATACCATGCATACTGTATGAAAACTTTAACCAATATTTATCTGCATAAAACTATCCAAACTTATTTACCTAACACATCAAAATCGAGAGATTCTTGTTTATATAATGTAATCATGTCATTTGCATCATTCTACAGAAGCAAACACTTTCCACATATATATTCCCATTAGCTCCCCACCTACTCATTCAAACCCAAAACAGCAAATAAAAACAAAACCCCACAAACAGTAGCTGAAACAGATTAGCACATGCATGATAGTTGATCATTAATGTCCAAAAAATATATATCAACCATTTAGCTTGATCTTATTTGAATCCATCCAGGTGGTCCTAAGTAACATGTTGAAGGTCATGGTTAAAAGACCCCCCTCCCATGGATTCTTTTTGGAAAGAAAAAGGGAACAAAGTTATCCATTTACAGAAATAAACAAAGCATCAAGAAAATTCAAACAGCATAATTAAAGCAAATAACATCATTACAAATAAAGTAGCAATTAAAAGCACTAGAACAAAACAACAGTAAAATTACCCAATACCTGCTGGAAAGAAAGAACATCAGACCGAAATCGAGTACGCTCGCCTTTATCACATTTGATGGATTTGGAAACGTTAGGGATTAGAAGTCCACCAGGAAGCACAATGTCTCGACCTTCAGCCTCGTCAATTTCGATCAAACGGCAATTTCGATTTCGATTATTACCATCGTTTGAAAAATAATCACCTTTGCGATACTTGAGCCTCAGATCTAACGAGATATCGTAACCACATCCAATCGATTGAATCGCAACATTTGCAGCTTCAGCAGCTGGAAGCTTGAGCGCCATTGTAGCTTGAAATCCACCAAACAAATACCAATCAATTCGACAAATGCATCTTACCCAGTTTATCAAGCAGTGTTGTCAACCCACTTCAGCCCCAGTTAGCTACACTTTAAACTCCACAAAAATCAAAGTGCTGGCGACGATTGCTTCTTCTGTGAAAACTTCCAAAAATTTTGTGGGGTATCATGCAAGATTCAAGCTCGAACATCAATAGATCCCCGTCAACTGCAAGATTTCATTTCGAACATTAAGAACCCTAGATGGTGGAGCTGGGTGTGAGATCTATGGAGTGAGTTGGGGGTTTTGGGGGGATGCTAACAAAAAAGTGGAGGGTTGGGTTGACTAGAATTGAAGAGCTTTTGACCCACAATTCAGTTTTTAATAGTATTAAAGGGAGAGAGAGAAGCCATTAACGAATTTGAAGGTGGAATCAGACAGGAGTGACTGATGATTTGAATATTGATTATCGGCAGACACGCAATCGAGTAGGGATGAAAATGGTTGTTAAAGAAGGTTTTCTTTTCATATTATTTTACAGGAACCATAGAAAACATTTATCTCTTCCACATCAAAATATAATATTTCTTTGTCTTTATTAATCGGGACTAATTCCAAGATGACCACCTGTTTTGCAGATAGCTTGAAGTTATCGTATTTGAACTTTCATGGCCACAAAGGGATTTTTATTTCTCCTTGGATTTGAACCTGAAACCTCCTAGTACTTTTAATCTTTGTAGTCAAGCTCAAACCAATCAAACACCACTCTTGTGGTTAAATATAATATTTATTTGTATTAAATAATTTAAATTGTTTATTTCTATGGAAATTTGAATATTATTTGAACAAAACTCGATTATCAGTAACTTTAATCGGTTTTATACATAATTAATTTATAAAAACATCAATGTAAAAAGCTATTTTTTGTGGGAAAACTATGTTTGTGGTGGTATAATTCTTGGCTAAATTTCTAGAACGATAGCAGGAAGGATGATATAGGAACATTAAATAGTAACATTTGAGATACGGATAAACTTAAAACCAAAATGGAGATGATAGTCACTTCTAATTGTTAAAAGAGATGACTTATTATATTATAGTGTAAGCCACCGACATAAACTAATACAGAAAAGATTGAACTTTCCATCTTTAAACCAAAATTTTGATACCAAGAATTTAGATTAAGTTATCCAGAGGCATAAATCTAGATAAAAGAAAACGAAAAATCGAGAAGAGAATTAGGGGAAACAGAGGTAGTACAATTGAGATTTTGGGAAATTTAAGAAATAATTTGTTGACTTACTTTGCCAACTTCATCTGCATTGATTAGAACAAACTCGTTTTCTGTTGTGTGAACCTGCAAGTCTTTTAATGAGTTATTGGCCGTACACGTGGGAATCCTTCTAAGTTGTCTGACAAGCTACTCCCCGTCTATCCCGTCAATAGCAACAAGTTAGCAAACACTTGCAGAAAATGACATTGGATTCAGCTATTTGGCGTTTTACAGATGCAAATATTGATTCTATACGGGAAAATTCTTGAGAAGAAGATGTTAGAAGCGAAAAATGAGAACATGATCAAGGCCGAAACCGAACCAGAATTGAGAAAACTCTGGAAAATTGGTGGAACCTCTAGAAATTTCCAAATAGAAGCTCATGTTTGGAAGAATGAATACAAAGCGATGATTGCATGAGCGACAACACAAAGCTATACAGGTGTAATCAATCGTGTTATATTTTCTGGTGAATTTCTTAAATTAATCTGTTGAAAACAAAAGGGAGTACTTTACTGGAAGGCATCGAAGTCACACCAGCGAGGGGAATCAGATGTGGAGGAAGTATTGGTGGTGAGCATAAAATGACAACAGTGAAAGTAAAAGAAAAAGCAGTGAGATTGAAGAAAAAAAATCGAAATATTGAAATGGCGGAGGTTGCGTCAGAAAGTGGATTGGAATAGAGGCGTGTCGTGAGGATGTGTCTGGTGGATCCGGGCGTGGGGATGGGTTTTCAAAACCACTGTTTTGGAGCATGATTATGCTTTAGTGACGATGGTGGATGGAGTGATTTCCATGGCGGAAGAGAAAGGTTGGAGGGGAATGGATGTCCTTTTTCCTTCTTTTGGTTTCAAAATTTATATCCGAATGACCAATTTCATCCCAAAATTGAGAGTTATATACTTTTCCTTTTAGTCGATTGCTTCATGGACAACGAAACGTGGACAGTAATTCAAGGTAGTGGGAGAGAGAATTGTGGGGGAAGTCGGAAAGGAAGAGATGATGAGGTGAGGGGTTTAGAAACTTGTAAATAATGTATAGAATGACAGTTAAAATTCAACAACAATAATAAATAATATAATATACATAGATAAGGATGTAAAATGGAAAATAAAAAATTAAGATATTAAAAAACACCAGTACGTATTTGTCATATTTAATAATATTATTAAATTCAATAATATTTGATATTTGGTTCATTTTGAAGGTACTAGAGAGACGATTATAATGATATAATCTATAAAAATGATAAACGTTTTTAAATATATTTTTGTTAATATATAGTTACAGATGTTAATATGAGAAGGTGTAAAATGAAAAATAGGAAAAGAGGAGATATAAAGTAAATTAAATAACTAATTACAAAGATATAAAGTGTAATTTAATAATTATCTAGTTGAACGTGGAGGTTGTAAAGGTTCAAAAATTGTACATAATAGATCAAAATTTATACCTCTTAAAAATTCAATAATAACCGTTTAGCATGTTTTTTTCTAATATAATATAGATAGTATAGATAGATAAGAGTGTAAATTAAGAAAGAAATAAATAAATTAAATATAAATTTTAAAAATAACTCACTACATATTTATGATATTAAATAATATGATAAAATTTAAAATATTCAATATTGATTCATTTTAAAGGTGTTGATAATACAATTATAATTATATAATTTATAAAAGAAAGAAATGTGTTTCATAATAATTTTATTTCATATATGATTATTTATTGTAATATGATAAAAATATAAAATAAAAAATGGAAAAATAAGTGGCATGAAACAAATTATATGACTAATTATAAGAGTATAAACTATAATTTAAAAATAAAAAAAAATTATATTGGGATGTAGAGATTTAAAGTTATGGGTTTTACAACTTTAAATTTGTAAATTAAGGGTGTAAAATAGAAATGAAAAATTAAGGGATATAAAACAAATTAAATACGATAACTATAAGATATAAAATGAAAGTTTTAAAAATAATTCACTACATATTTATGTTATTTAATAATATGAGATTAAATTGAAAAATATTTAATATTGGGCTCATTTTGAAGGCATTAATGAGACAATTATAATGGTATAATTTGTAAATAGTGAAACGTATTTTTTTTTAATATATTTTAGTTAATATACGATTATCTATGATAATATGATAATGGTGTAAAATGAAAAAGAAATGGACATAAAGTAAATTAAATAACTAACTATAAGGGTGTAAAGTGTAACTTAAAAATTAAAAATAATTTGGTTCTAATATTATGTTAAGTTTCATGGGAGGTGTTTAGCTTCAAAACTTGTACATGGTGCATAGGTAGTTGTACCTCTTAATTTTCAACTCTTAATCGTTTAGCATGCTTATATATACGTACAAGTAGATGATCAAGCGAGAATGCTAGCTATTTAAAAGAATAGGAAAACAATCGAATTACGTAATCACATGCGATTTTACATTAACGATCAAAGAAAGGTGTCTGGTGACTTTGGCTGTGTCTTCAAGTCACGGGGTGTAGATCTCAAATTACAGCAACAAATCAAGTTAAACACTCGAAAGATTTGACATTGAAGAACAAAGTGTAGAGAAGCAAACAGGTCGACCTGACTATTACAGAAAACTAGAAAGCTTACAGTGCGACTCTCTTTAATCGATTCTCATAATGAATTCTAAACCCAGTGCACCTATTTATAGGTGCAAATACAATGTATAAGCCCAAGCCCAAAGCTCAATTACAAAGTAATGAACATTATGATACAATACAATGACTTTATAAAACTTTCAATATCTTGGGGCTAATCCAGACCCAACAATCTCCCTCCTAAAGTTTTATAAATGAAGCATCTTCTGGATCATCAGATATTCTCCCCCTGCTTTCTTTGGAAAACTTTAGTGTTGCTCAACTTTTGAAGAACATATCAAGCTCCCCCTTTAATAAAACTCTTATTCTTCAGTTTCAATTTTAACATAAGAGTCAATGTGCCTTCAACACCACTGATTGCACAAAAAAGCAGCTTTAATCTATAGACAACTCAACACAACCATGAACCTCAGAATCTCAGCCAGCCCATAAGTGTATTGATTCATCTAACAACGAAATAGATAATGTACGAGTTACGTGACATTCCACTATGCAAAATTAGTCTAATAACAAAGAATCTTTCTTTGAACCTTGAGTTGAATAAGCTTTTAGCTTAAGAAATTGTTCTGATAAGCTCACAAAATGGGGTTTCAAAATCAACTTGAATAACCAGAGCAAACACCATTTGATAATGAAATCCGAAGAGATACATCATTAAGAACATAGCTTCTTGATCAGCAGCTGTCAACCAAGAAAGATAAGTCGATTTTCTTTATATTTTCAGAAAACTGAATAACCAAAACCTAGATCCAAAATTCTCAGTCAAACGAATGATTATTGACACTCGAAACTCTAAATCACAACATACCTCCAGAACAATGATTGTAATCACTCAAACTTCTAATCGATCAGGTTAGATCAATGACTGAGAACACTCAAAGGTCTAGTAGCTCCAGAAACTCTAGAACAATGATTGCAAGCTCTCAAAAACTCTGATTGATCAAGTCTATGACGGTAAGCACTCAACGGTCTGACCTCTTGCAGAAAACTTCAAAGTAATGATTGCAAATATCAAACTTCTAACTAGTCCAAATAAATATTGAATCCAATCACCTAGTTCTGAAAACTTTTCAAATCCGACTCTTTAACAATACAAACTTGAAAATTTTGACCAAAAAGTCAAATTTTGACTTCAAAAAGTCAACTCTTGACAAAATGTTGATGATGCTTTTTGTAGGGCAAAATATCGCAAGGCAAAGAGATAGAACACCAGTTTTTATCGTATAAGGATATCTTGAGAAAAGCCCAACCAGAAAATCGCTTAAAACAACTCGTATAGGTGAGCGATATTCTAATGATAGTAATGACACGCCTTAGGCAAATTCCTTTATGGACAATATTATATTATCGCCTATGCCTTGAGCGTTTTACTTCAATGTCGCTTGATGCAAGAATGTCACTCAACACTTTAAACCGCTTGATGCTTGAGGGATATAGATG